CTATCTTTTTGAATAAATGAAGTATTATTAGATACAGATCTTCTTTAAATGTCTGGTAGAATTCTGCTGTAAATCCATCTGTTCCTGGGCTTTTTTTAGTCTGGAAGTTTTGTATTACTGTTTCAATTTCCTTATGTGTTATGGGTCTGTTTCAGCTCTTGATCTCTTCATGGTTTAGTTTTGATGATTCCCGTGCTTTTAGATACCTGTCCACATCTCTTAGATTTTCAAATTTAGTAGTGTATAGGTTATTAAAGTATTACCATATAATGTTCTGGATCTTTCTGGTGTCTGTTGTGATGTTTCCCCTTTCATCTCTGATTTTGTTGATTTGGAGGTGCTCTTTCTTTCTTTTGGGTAACTGGGCTAAGGGTTTGTCAATCTTGTTTATCTTTTCAAGGAACCAGTTCTTGGATTCATTGATTCTTTGTATTGTTTTCTTTTTTTCTATTTCATTAATTTCTGCTCTGATTTTTGTTATTTCTTCTCTTCTGCTGGGTTTTGGTTTCAGTTGTTGCTTTTCAAGTGAATTGAGTTGCAATGCTAAGTCATTTATTTGTGTTCTTTCTGACTTTTTGGTGTACGCATGTAAAACTATAAACTTCCTTCTTGGGACTGCTTTCAATGTGTCCCAGAGGTTTTGTTGTATTGTACTGTCCTTTTCATTTAGTTCCAGGAATACTTTTATTTATTTTTAATTTCTCCTTTGACCTATTCATCATACAGGAATGTGTTGTTTAATCTCCTTGTGTTCCTGTAGTTACTATGGTTTCTTCCGCTGCTGAGGTTTAGCTTTATTGCATTGTGGTCTGATAGAATGCATGGAATTATTTCAATCTTTTTGTGTTTGGTGAGGCTTGTTTTGTGCCCCAGTATGTGTTTGATTTTGGAGAAAGTTCCATGGGGTGCTGAACAGAAAATATATTCTTTGGTGCTTGGGTGGTATATTTGGTAGATGTCCATTTGATGTATGGTATCGTTTAATTCAGATGTCTCTCTGTTAATTCTCTGTCCTGTTAACCCATTTAATGGAGTCAATGGAGTGTTGAAGTCCCCTACTATTAATGAGTTGGGATTAATCTGGGTCTTCAAGTCCTGTACTACTGATTTATGAAGTTGGGTGCACCAGGGTTTGGTGAATATGTTTATGATTGTAATATCTTTTTGGCCAATTTTTCCTTTGATCAGAATGAAGTGGCCCTCTTTATCTCTTTTGATTAGCTTTAGTTTAAAGTCTATTTTGTCAGATATTAGAATTGCAACGTCTGCTTTTTCTTAGTACCATTTGCTTGGTGTATTTTTCCATCCTTTCACCTTAAAGTAGTGCCTTTCCTTGAAAGTGAGATGGGTTTCTTGCAGACAACAAAAAAGATGGGTTTTGTTTCTTAATCCATTCAACTTGTCTGTGTCTTTTGACTGAGGAGTGCAGTCCATTGATATTTAAGGTTATTAATGAAAAATGTGTATTGAATCCTGTCATTTTGATTTCTGTTTGCCTTCTTGGTATAACTGTGCATTTCCACAGTTATACCTTCAATATGTTTCTTTCTGTTACCCCTTGGGTATAGTTGTTCCTTTCTTCAGCTCTTTGCATTGCTTCAAGAACTCTCTGAAGTGCTAGTTTTGTGGACATGACTTCTTTCAGGCTATTTATATCATGGAGGATTTTTCTTTCCTCTTCAACTATAATAGGCATTTAGGCTGAGTATAGTAATCTGGCTTGGCATCTGTAGTCATTTAGAACTGGGAATACTTTGGTCCAGGCTCTCTGGCTTTCAGACTTTGCACTGAAAAGTCAGCTGTAATCCTGATGGGTTTTCCTTTATATGTGACTTCTTGTTTTACCTTTGCAGCTTTCAGTATTTTCTCTTTGTTCTGTATGTTTAGTGTTTTTACTATGATGCATTGTGGAGAGTTTCTTTTCTTGTCCTGTCTATTTGGTGTTCTATATGCTTCTTGTATTTATATCATGTCTTTCTTTAGTTTTGGGAAATTTTCGTCTACAATCCTGTTGAAGATCTGGTCCATACCATTAGCCTGAGATTCTTCTCTTTCTTCTATGCCTATGATGTGTAAGTTTGGTTTTTTTAGGGTGCCACACAATCCCTGTATGTTCCATTCTTGTGTTTTCTTGAATTTTTCATAATCTTTGCTTGAGTGGTCTAATTTTTCCACTTTATCCTCCAGTCTTTATATTCTTTTTTCCATTTCATTTATCCTTTTAGTGAGGCTTTCTCCTGTCATTTCTAATTGGCTTATGGAGTGTTTCACTTCCTTCGTCATTTCAACCTGAGTATTCCTCAATATTTCTAACTCTTTTCTGAATTCATTCAGAAGTTTATCCCTATCTTCTTTGATTTCTTTTTTCATGTGTTTTTAAAATTCACTGAATTCTTATATCATGTTTATAATTGTTCTTTAGAATTCCATGTCCTGTGTTATCTCCAGCGGGTTCTCATAATACTCCTCTGCAGGGTTGTTGCTACTTGGTGGGATATATTATTTGGGTTTCTCATGTTATTATTTTTTCACTGTGATTTTGACATGTGGGTTTCTTTGTAGTTTCTGATTCTTGTGTGAGATTCAAGCTTTCCTTTGTTGAGTTTAGGTCTGCTTCTTTTTGTACACTTTATGTGCCTTTGTGGTTTATTTGTTGAGCATGCCTTCAGGTTTATTTGTTGGTCTAGGCTTCAGGTTCTCTCTTTTGATTTTATATTGGAAGGGCCAGATGGCTGTTGTCGTGCTGTTTAGGAGTTCCCACAGAGGCCCAAGTTGGATGAGGATCAGATTTTCTAAGGCCTTCTCCTAAGGACTGGATCCCTCTAGTCAGCAGGCACAGTACAGTTTGGGAGGATCGCTAGGTAGAGGTAAGATTCAGGACTCTCTGGCAGTCAGGGAAGGAGGCTGGTCTCAGGACTTCAGAGCAAGTAGGGAAGGAGGCTGGTCTCAGGACTTCAGAGCAAGTAGGGAAGGAGGATGGTCTCAGGACTTCAGAGCAAGTAGGGAAGGAGGATGGTCTCAGGACTTCAGAGCAAGTAGGGAAGGAGGATGATCTCAGGAATCCAGGCAAGATGGGGGAAAGAACAGGCCCTGAGGGCTCTGGGGGATTATAGGGAGGAATTGGTTTGGTCTGGGTGCAAAGGATCAGAAAGCAGTGTGGTATCTGGGCCAAGAGGACAGTCTAGAGGTCCAGAGTGCCAAGAAAAGAAATGGGCCAGGGCCCATATTAGGAGGAGAGATGGGGTGGGGGAGGTGGGAGGGTGAACAAGGCTGTGGGAGTTAAGGCACCCCCCTGTTATTTTAAAAACATATTTAAAAATTTTATTCTTTGAGAATTTCATATGTGTATACAATGTTTTTTGATCATAACCGTCCCAAGACTCCCACCTCCAACTTCTCCTAGCCTTCCCCATTGTGCCCTCCCTCCCAACTTCATGTCCTTTTTCGTGTCCTTTTTTTCTATAACCTACTGAATCCAATTAGTGCTGCTTACATAGTCATGAGTATAGGGCTATCCATTGGGGCCCAGTCAACCTTCTAGGGATGATATTCCTGAAGAAAAGAAACTCTTCCTTTCCCAGAAGCCATCAACTGCCAATAGCTCCTCAGGTAGGGGAGGGCCTTGTGAGCCCCTCCCCCATCTCTTCTGGAATTTTGACTGGTTGATCTTGTGCCTGTCTGGTGCAGGCTGCTACAGCACCTATAAGTTCATGCATGCAACTGCTCTGTCATATCTGGGAAAACAGTTTCACAGAATCCTCCCCAGCCTCTGGTTCTTGTAGAGCCAGTAATTTCTGTCCCAGAGTGCAGGGGATGGAGTAAGAAACAAGAATCCTTTGAGGTGTGTTACTAGGGCGAGGGGATAGGAATTCTTCAAAGAAAGTAATTTTCTCTTAAGTAAACACAGAAGGTGGTGGCTAGAGGTGAGTATATCATTTCACACACAGTTCAAGAGGTTTCTGGGCCCACTCTGATTCTGCAAATGGACAAAGTAATGGGTCATTTACAATTGATCGCTTTAATGGCAGCTGGGTGTTGTGTTGTGATAACAGAGCATGAACCATGGTGTTTCTCCCTGCTGTTCCCGATTCTTAATCATTAACATAATATTGATTGAAGAAAATGTGCACTATAGGCTCAGCACTGTCTTTGTTATTATGGGCTCTGGTTGCTCATGGGAATACCATATCTGCCTTTGGGAGGCTGTTCCTAGTGGTTTTGAGTGATTCTTTCCTCTATAGTACATATTACAATTGTCACGAGACTCAAGACTTTCTTGTTAATTTTTTTCTACATTTGTGTGTTTGTGCTTGTATATGCCACCATACACATGTGTAGAGGTCAGAGTACAGTCGGTTCTCTCTTTTCACTATGTGGGTTTTAGAGATCAAACTCTGGCTGTCGTACTTGATGGCAAGCCCCCTTATCCACTAAGTCATCTAATAGGTCTTCAAAAGAGTTTACTAGAGAAGCCCCAGGGTATTCTACTGGATCTTCCTTTATACCCAGTAAGTTGGTTCAGCCCGTCTGTCCATTTTCTCATAAGAACTTTTAGACCTTATTTGCATTTTGGTGGACCTTTGTTAAAAAGAATCCAATTTAGAGATTTCAAAGGTACTAAGCAAGGCAGAGAAAGTCCCTCCAGATGGAGGACTTTTATTTTGGGACTTTCCAAAATAACTAGAAATTTATTACTGCCAAGGGTGCTTGCTACAACTCTTGTTGCTTGTTAAAGTTTTGTATCTCTCATTGCTTTGACTGGAGCCCTTTGGTGATGGTCATGTGCCTAATGGAGGTAGGAAACCTAGCTGCAAGCAGCCTGGCATTTGGATCTTTTCCTGCAGTTAGCACATGATAGAGACCCCCTTTCCTACCTCCAGAAGCCAAACCCTCACCTGTGTTCTACTGATTGCCTCCTTTTCACCTCCTGAGGCTAATAGCTAACAGCTAGCAGGGGATTCTCTGCAGACCCTCATCATATTCTTTCTTTGACTTTCTAGATTAGACTTGTTGTAGAAGAGGGATTGAATCAGCTGCCATATAAAGAATGCATGGTGACCACTCCGACAGGTAACCAGGGCTGTTACTCGCAAATTTTCCTCATAAAAATTCTGTTTTAGAGTGTGTGTGGGGGGATGGAAAGAAATCATTCTGCAGAAATCAGTATGAAAAATGAGAAGTTTAGGTATAGCCGTTTTTTAAAACACCTTTAAAAAACTCAGAGTTTTTTTTTTTTTTGTAAAGAAACCTATGTAGGTCACTTTTTGTTAATGGCTTGCTTGTCAATTCAAGTTAAAGGTTACTAAATATTCTTCAGCATGCAGGTGTTGCCTCTGATGGCAGCCCATTGGGACCAGAATTAAGAATTGCTGGCAGCTTATCTTCACCTCTGTGGGGAAGCCGCTGGTGCTAACAAATGCAGAAGGCTGGTTTGGCATAGAAACTGCAGGTTAAAAAAGGATGAGATGTGAAAAGAAAAGGAAACTAAAAATGATAAGACTTGGAGAAGGTGCTTTGTTCTAATAAAAATAGCCTATGATCCCTTTTTCAGGGATTTGAAATTCTGCTTTGGTTCTTTTGTAAATGATGGAAAACTATTCTATTCAAAAGACTTACTATGAAAAATTGAGGGATGAGGTTGTTGCATCATAATTGACACAATTCAAGATGAGACCAAGGTCTGCATAGCTTGATAACTACTTCAGTCTCTTTCCTCTGCTTTTAAGGCAGAATGGAGACTCATAAGAAGAGATGGAATGAGGAGGCTTTCTGCTTTGGCTCTCTGTGGGGCCCCAGTTTGAATTGATGGGGTTTATAGCATTTGCAGGCTGCAATGATTCTCCTTTGAATTCAACTTGAAGGCTGTGTATGTGAATATTGTGCTATAATAAGTCCTATTCCCACTTGATGAAATCCTCATCTCCCGATTATTCCCGCAGGTTTCTCAAGAGGAATTAAGAAATCGCTATGAAAAATCATGACATTATTTTCACAGGAAGCCTAAAGTGTTATGCAGTGTGTCTAGACAAGGGTTACTTTGTAGTCATGTGCTTTAAACCATAGGCACTTTGTAGAATATGCACAGTGCTCAATCATAAAAGATACATTTAAAAAAAATTTTATTTCCCAACAGGGCACAAGTATGAAGGAGTGAAATTTGAGAAAGGAAATTGTGGGGTCAGCATAATGAGAAGTGGTAGGTTTACATGTGTGTGATTTTTGTCTCTCCATGCATAGAAACGGTTCCTGCTCTCCAGGAGGGAGGTGGGCTGGTCTGTCATAATTGCAGCCTGCCTTTGCTTAAATCTCACCACCTGTGTTGCCTATCCTCATGGTGCCTTGAAGTCATGGCCTGTGTGCTGTTAAGTTTGGTGAATTTTAATTACAGAGTATCTTCCCTGGTGGCCTACTCCCATGAGCAAGACAGCTTTGAAAGAGATTCAAAGGAGGGTGGGAGGATAGGAGGATGGAAGGCTGATGTCTTTGGGAGAACGGTTTGCAGACTGAAGGATGTGGCATAAATTAATTTCTTCGTGAAGAACTTTTGAGTGCCTGGCTGGAGAAAATGTCTATTCTGTTATTATCTATGCTGCAGGGAGCTCTGCTAAAAGCTTCACTAAATGACTTGTTTAATATTTTTAATTTTATATTTGATGAGTATGTGATTATGTAGGCAAAAGCACCTAGCTGTCATTAGCTCTAGATATTTCCACTTGCTGGTCTTATAAATGGAGTATTGGAGTTTAATGAGAACTTAAACCTGTTACATGGAAATGATGAGTTCTCTTCAGCAAATTTCACTTGTTTTGCACAAGAGATAAAGCCCCACTTGTTTGCACTGGAAACAAATGGATTTTTAAAAATAACATTTACTTTTCTATGGCTCTAGTTGTACTTGTGAGCAATTTACTACTTCAATTAAAAAGAGAACTTTAGGCTCCTGTTTTTAAAGAAGAGGGCCCATAAGCAATAATAGCATTCTCAGGACAATGTTGTTCAACATTTAAAGTTGGTAAAGACAATGGATATGGTTTCTTCTGCTCAGCTCCTTTTCTGAGAGTATGAGCTTGGTCCTTGCACACATGGTTTGTACCAGATGACTTAGGGTGATGAAGGCAAACTTGGGAGGTTTGATTTTTGGTGGTTTTGATGATAAGGTTTGAATTCAGGTCTTTTTGTATGGTATACAAACACTATTGCTGTCAAGCTCCATTTCTAGCCATGACAGAGTTTTTTTTAAAGCCATAATAACCCCCCCGTTGTCTTTCATATACATATATTTGGAAGAAACTGGTTATATGTTTACACTAATGCTATAAAATTTCCTCTTAAATTGAAATGAAAAATTAAAAAATATCGATACCAACATTGGTAGAATTCTGATACAGTATAAAAACTCGAAGACTATATGAAGAATGATTGGCTTTTGGAAAACACTTCCTTAAAGGAATTCATACTCAAAAATAACCCTACATTTAGGGGCTAAGGAGGTGGCTCAGCAATGAAAACACCTGCTGTGCAAGTGTGAAGACTAGAATTCAGATTCCCAGAACCCACGTAAAAGCTGGTCAGGTGTGGCAGCTGTGCTCTGAAGGCAGAGACAGGATACTTGGAACAAGTTGCTAGCCACACTGTCTATATCAGGAAGCTCTGGGTTCAACTGAGACACCTTGCCTCAAAGAATATAGTGGGGAGCCACTGGCAAAGGGTCCCAAAGTCAACCTTAGGCCTCCAAAAGCTTGGTCAACATACATGCACCTATGCATACATGCACACCAATACACATACAAACATGCATACACACATAAACACACACCGCACACAGACACCTGCAAAAAAATGTAACTCTGTATTTATAATGGGGGTAGGGTTGGCTCTCCAGGGAAGGGAGAACAATATGCTCCTCTTTCACCGTTTGCAGCAAAACATTTGTCAGTGAAGTCATTTTTGAACTAAGCAATATCTCCCAGTTCCACCTTGATCTAAAAGGAGATCCCTTTGGTCTACAGCCTGCACTCTCCCATAAATTTTTTATATTTTTCTCAGATGAAAGTGATAAATTTAAGTGGTTTAAAGACTTCTTTAAAATAATAAGACTGAAAGCATCCCTGATACTGAAAAAGCTCAAGGAGCAGCACAGCCAAGCACTGTATTCCTGTAACCACAGAAGTTTGACAGCTGTACAACTTGTAAGCAAGCAGTAAGACTTGCTTATTGTAGTTCCACTGACCAGCCTTTTACCTGGTTTCATTGACCTACTACTAAGAACAAAATATGAGAATATCAGAAGGGAAAGCTGCTAGCTCCAGAAAGATGCTCCCTTCTCAGTAGTGTTCTTCAGCAGCAACAAACTCTCCTTTGGCCTCTTCTTGGATTGGCACTCTATCTGCTGCAACACTTTTGTCTCTAATTTGTTTTCATTTTCATCTTCAAGGTGAGGCAATGGAACAAGGTTTACGAGACTGCTGTCGATCCATACGAATTGGAAAGATCCTGATTCAGAGCGATGAGGAAACACAAAGAGCCAAAGTATACTATGCCAAGTTTCCCCCAGACATTTATCGTAGAAAAGTCCTTCTGATGTATCCAATTCTCAGTGAGTGGCTTCAGTTTGATTCATAATTTTTTGTTAGAGTTAAAATTCAAGTTCGTACCTACTTCCTACACACCCTTATGTAAAAGGCAAAAACAGTTTCTAAATGTGTTTTTCTCAGTTGGATTTGGAGTTGCCCTGGGCAGTTCACCGGGATATTTTCATTGCATAATAAGGGAATATACATTAGTCAAACTTTATTAGCTCCAAAGAATATCTGTCTTGAAATGAACACATTGAAGCAAAGGACTTAATGAGGCAAAATATATAGAACACAGAAAATACATTGAAACATGTTCTCTCTCTGGTTTAATGAGTATGACAACGATTTTCTCAAGGTTTTGTCCTCTTTACAGGTAATTTTTTCCTGCTCTTTTGTTCTCATTCCCAAGCTTTCTCAGATCATAATGATTTCCCAGGAAGGTGAAGGGAGAAACATGTTAAATTTGTTATCTCAAACAACAAATGAGTTTAGGACTTGTACATTTGTTACCTGTTTATGTTGTGTCCATTATTAAAAATAACATTGATAGAAGACAAACATCTTCAAATGAAGCTTTGACTATTGTTATCTTCAGCTAAAATTACTATATTGTCCTTACTTCAAAACCTTTTTTTTAAATTTCTTTATTTTTATTTATTTATTTTTGTCTTTTTTAAACATTTTTTTTTACAATTAAAGTTACAGTTTTAACAATATGCAAAATATTACAGTAATTCAGATTTTTTGGCATAATGATTACAGATTTGATAAATACATTTTATATCTCATAATAGCGATGAGGATTATACAGAAGCTGTTAAAACAATTATAAGAATAAATTCAATTGTCACTTAAGTATCTAAAGCTATTTTCCTTTGCGTTCTTCCAGAATGATTTGTTCTTATTCTTTACCTTAATTTGAGGGACTTCAAGAAGATACTTTTTTTTCATACAGAAGAATTCATTCCAAAGCAATTGACATTGAGACGTTTTCACATGCATTTCTAATCTCTATATACATGACTATCACTGGTCACAGTCGCGCACCTTCTGAGCTCCTCGGCATCTGAGCATGAATACAAACTCGTCAGATAGACAGCCTTCCTCTCCCACTAGAGGCTCCATACTCTGCCATCCCTGTCACTGTCCACTGTGTTGTCAGCACCCTCATCCATTCCCCCCTGTCTGCCCTTCTGGTAAATCTAGTCAGCCAGAGGTCCCTGTTCCAGGACGGTTTTAATATAAATGTTAATATTGTGAATGTGTTTGGTTGCCTTTTGATTTTAGGTACTGGAAATACTGTAATTGAAGCTGTAAAGGTTCTTATTGAACATGGAGTTCAACCCAGTGTTATTATCCTCCTCAGTCTCTTCTCTACTCCTCACGGTGAGTTTCACATGAGGCCATAACTGAATATCCAGATAGTCATGGCATGAGTAAGTATGTATCTCTCTAGTCTCTTGTTCTGAGGAAAAGTATAGTTGTGTGTCCATATTAAGCTTAAAACTAGTTTGGGTAGTTATGTCTTGTGTTTGTTATCTCTAAGCTCAGTAATACTATATCAACAATTTTCGAGACAAGATTATACATACACACTGGCCTTAAAGTCCTATACTCAGTTGATCCTCTTGTTGTATTCTCCCTAGCAGCTGAGACTACAGACTCATACTAGCATGTATAGCTTAATTTACACCATTCTGATGTTTCACTTCAAAGGAAGAAGTATGAATTAACTCCATTGAAAGTAATTTCAATTGTTTTCCCAGTGACCCTGTTTGAGCCTGCAAATGACTAAAAGGTCCTAATTTTCAATTGTTTCCCACCTGAGCCTAAGGACAACTCCCCAATAGCAAGAAACTTGTCATCTGCTGAAGTAATCTTTGGAGTATGAAGTAAAGATCAGAGGGTTTTTTTTTGAGTTAGACTTATATATTAAGGAAACATGAGAAAAATGTATATTCTACATTTCTTACAAGAGATATACCTAAATTAAAATTCTGGCCTTCTTACCAAATGATCTAGGACAAATAGGATTGCATGCTAAGGAAATAATCATAGAGGCATGTAGGAATGTAGAATGTTCAGTATAGAGTCATTTAGTATAAGAAAAAAAATCTAAAAGTATATAAATGATGGTTGGGAATGGTAACACATTTCTGCAATTCTGGGTTAGGAGGCAGAGACAAGAGGATTATTGCAAGTTCAAGGCCAGACTATTCTACATACAGAGCCAAACTATTTAGGAAGATTATGTCTCCGAGACAGAAAATAGGACTAGAGAGATGGCTCAGCAGATAAAAGCACTGGATGCTCTTGTAGAGGACCCAGTTCGGTTCCCATCACTTACATGACAGCTAACAGTCATCTGTAACTCCAATTCCAGGGGATCTTCTGGTCTCCTCTCTTCTTCTGGTCTCCATGGGAATGGCATGATGGGTGCACTTACATACATGCAGGCAAAACACCCCACAAAAAAACAAAAACCAATAAAGCAAGTATATAAATGACTAATAAGAAAATAGGAAAGTAAATAAATAATATCATATTTAGATTATATAATATATAACTTATAAATGGTGATTTTGAAAAATATTTAGCATCATAAAAATGTAGATGGTAAGTGAAAAAGCAGCATAATAACAGTACTAAATATTGTGAAATGTTATTAACAAATTTACAGATGACTGATGCAAATTATGACTATTTTAACTACCCAAGGACGACTTGGCTTTAACATAAAACCAAATAAAATTCTCCTCAACATGAGGAGTTCAGAAGGTACACAGTACTATTTCAATTAGTGGTTATTGTAGGGTGATATTTTAAGACTTTCATTTCATTTTTAAGGGCTTATTTTTTGGAGAATGTTCTAAGTGTTGTACAATGAATTAATTCTTGCTTCATAATTGAAAGTGAAATAGATAGCTTCTCTAGTTAGGATGTTCCCTCATTTCCAAGTGCTCTAAATTTCAGGCAACCCTGAAGAAGCCACAGGGTACCTATTTAGGAAGGCTGATTTTCAGTAGGCTGTTGTATGGAATTGTGGCATGTTTGATTACTTTGTTCTTTTGTAACCAACATGCACCTGTAATTCAAACACTGGTGGTGACAAAGGGTGATTTGCTTGATTGTCCTTTGTATAAAACACTGATGACATTGAAAACATTAACATAATTCAGTAATTATCCACCTTTGGGAATAGAAAAGTGATATCTTTAGTTCTAATTATATTCATTAAAATAGTGTACTGTTGTTTGGCATTATAGCTGGAAAATCCACACTCTGTGGCAGCTTTCTTGTGATTTTTAGTTTGGAGTCTCAGCCATCTTTATTCCCTGCCCCTAAAGTTTGAGTCTTTACTTCTAAAAAAAACTGTCTTTCTCTGACACATCAAAGAAATATTTGCACTTGTTTCGCAGCGTTTCAGTGGGGGAAACCATCATTTAATGTGATTTTCCTTTTAGGAAGTACCATATATACGTGATTCTAATCACCTTTCATGGAAAAAGTAAGAGACCCTTCAGGATAAAAGTTGCTATAACTGAATAACTATTTTTCAGATCTTGGCTATAAAATGCTCTGATTCTAAGACCCTATGAATGTGAGGGTGGGAGTGTAGTCTGAACTATCAACAAGCTTTTCAGATCCCAGACATCATATAAACAGAGATTAACTATGTCTGGCTAGGTATCCAAGGAATACTGTTCTGTTGTCTGTCAGTATTAGGTTTGGTGACAATGAGTATAAATTCTTGAATTTAAACTACTGTTACCAAAAATCTTGCAGTAATAACATTTTAATTTTTTTGTCTTTTGAAGGTGCCAAATCAATCATTCAGGAATTTCCAGAGATCACAATTCTGACTACTGAAGTCCATCCTGTTGCACCTACACATTTTGGGCAGAAATACTTCGGAACAGATTAAGTTATTGAACAAAAATGAAATATTTTGTGTAGTATTATGGTTATGAGTGGGTTTTGTATTTGCTTTACTAATTTGCTTGAGAAATGGTGTAGAAAAATACTTTAAATAATGCCTTTAAGCACATATAGCAAAAAGAAAATATTTGAGATATTCATTTTATTTCATTGTTTTTTAACAGTTGGTACCAAATTCAATAATGAAGCACATTCACAATGCTTAGAAAAGATGGAAATTTTAATCATATGCTGATGGAAATTACTGAACCCTCACTGCATTCATGAAAACTGTCTAATTTGTGATCCTCTTAGTTTGGAGATTGCTTGTGGCCACAAATAAAACCCAAATGAGAGAAATGAGAGTTAGTTCTTTGGCCCATTGTAGCCTACATTTTGTTAATTATGCTTTTAGGTTTAGGGAAGTTTCCTGTATGTGGCTGTACACACTCCCTCTACTCTGTACTTCCTTGGTACTATTTTTGCTGATACCCTGGAGATGAGAGAACAAGGATACATCCTTGCATTTTACATTTCCATTAATGTTCTCACTTAATTGGCAGACACAGGATGCCTTGTTAACTCTTCAGCTAGGCCACTGTGTTCCTCATGGCTCATTTTCCAAACTGTGTATTGAGAATAGCTGCCTACCAAGCTGTAGTATAGTGAGAAAGAAGTTAGAGCATTTTCAGTAACTGAATCTGTAACATTAGTTTGCAGAGACTGAACCAGGGATGTCTGGCATGGACAAAGGAGAATGAAATACTGTCAATGGCATTGGTTCTCTTAAAAGGAATTGGTGGTGGTTTTCCTGAGGTGTGGGGAAAAGGGGAGTTTCTGCTGCGTTTCATGGCCAATAAAGGAACCAAAATGGTTCTTTTTAACCAAGTTGTTTCTATTGGAGTCTTTTGATTTGGAACTTAGTTATTTTGCATGTTTTACAACTATGGACATGTTAAAGTAGAGAAAACCCAACGTTCTTTAAAATATATATAAGGTTTATATGTGCTCATGCATAAACTTCTGAAAAGGAGAGAACCATCTTAGAAATCATTCATTGTGCTTCTAAAATGTGCATATAAAATCCTGGTCTGATTATACATTGATATTAAAATCTTTTAACTGTGCTGACTGGATGATTATGTGATTAATCACCCTGTCATAGCCCCACAAACAGCTGTTGTAGGCCTCTGTTCAAAAACATAAGAAACAACAGAAGACAGTATCTTGGAAAGAGCTAAAGCTGAAAAGATTAGCAAGGGTCGGGGGCAGAAAGAAACTTGGAATAGATGGATCAGATTTGATCTTATGATTCTAGAATAGTAGAAAGAGGTTACTCTACTTTTACTTTATTTTTGAAGACTGTCATATAATAAAATAAAATGAATAAATAGTTCATGCAATATAGTTCTTCCATGGAAAAATGTTGCCTTCAAGTTGTTATTGAAATGCTTTTTTAAAAAAATTGTGACAAGGACTCACTGACTGGCCTCAAACTCGCTATGTAGACCAGGCTGGCTTCGAACTCACAGAGCTCTACCTGTCTTTGTCTCCCAAATGCTGGTATTAAAAGTGTGTGTTATCACACCAAGCTGAAATTCTTATATTTGTTAGTCAGATATTTTAATGCAATGTGGATTTTTACTACTTGACAAGCAGAAACTATAAATGAAGTTTCTTAAAGCAAATTCTTTTATCCTCTGTCCCAGGAAAGATGTGAGCCAGAAAAATTTAGAGACCAGATCCATTGAGATTGTTGTATTGAATTAGTTGGAAAGATGATGTGTACTAAGCTGGGGGTAGTAGTTCATACCTGCACCCCCAGCACTCAGGAGGATGAGCCAGGAGAATTGAAAATTTAAGGCCAGCTTGAGTAACTGAGCCAGATGCTGTCTCAAAAAAACAAAACGATGTGCCGACTACTGTAAGAGTTGCTGCTTCTGAAATGGTGCTTATGTTTGGGCTTCCGTATTTTGTTTCCCTTTCCAGGAATAAGATAATTTCATATTCAAGTGAAGATACAAAGCAATATTTCATGAAAATTCTTTTTTTTATATAGGGTCTCCTGTAGTCCAGGCTTGAACTTGTTCTGTTGTCTGACTTTGAACTCTTGATCTTCCTGCCTCCATTGAGTGTTGCGATTACAAGCTTGCACTCATATGCCCATCTTAAACAAATTCTTTTCATACGTCATTAACCATTTAGATTCAATGTGTCTTTGTCCCTTTCATCAATGAACATGAATGAAAACTGACTGCATTTGATTCCTACATGAAGAGCCTAGCATAAACAGTAGTGATTATTTAAAGAGGTCATATTCTCCACAGATACTTGCACCCTACACTACTGCAGATATAACTCTATCCTCTGAATTTTGGAATGTTTTAGGAAACACATTCTTAGTTTCAGGGTTAATCACTTGAAAGAGTCTTTATTTTTAAAGTCAACATAAGATTAACAGACTATTTAAACTAAGATTGACTTTACTGACATGAACTTAAAAGCAGTATAAACTGCATAGATTCCTTTTTGAAGAATAAACCCTAGAACAACGAAAATGACACTCAGATGGCAAATGTGGATGATTCTCAAAATTTGATGCTCATCAGAATCTTTCTTTGGCCTTTGAAATTATTTTAAGTAAAACATTTTTACAGTGGAATTTTTGCTAAGGATCAAAGGGAAAATCTTATAAACCTTGGCAATGTAAAAGCAGAATTAGAACTAACAGGTAAAGATTAAATGGAAGAAATACTAGTGTATTGATTTGTTTTCAAATACCTAATCCAGTTGAAACTTTGAGCATTTGGGAGGAGGGGGGGAGGAAATGGTTTATTTGGTTTACAGTTCACAGTCTATTATCAAAGGAACTCAGGGCAGGAATCTAGAGCACAGACCATGGAGGTATGTTGTTTACTGGCTTGCTCCTCTGGTTCATACTCATCAGAATCTCTTAGAGGGCTACAAATTACTGGGCTACACCCGTAGAGTTTCTGATTCAATGTCTTGATTTCAGACATTATTTTTTTATAATATAAACAACTAATGATACAAAATTTCCCATAAATATATCTTCATTTTCACTCAGGTAAAAGTATTTTCCCCCTTTTTTATTTCTTCAACTAAGGGTCATTTAAAAGTGTCAGCTAATTGCAACTATTTATAGCAATTTCCATATTTCTCTTTGATATTGTTTCCTAACTTAATTCCATTATGGTCAGAAAATATAGTTTCTATGATTTGCATCATTTTAAAATTTGTTGAAAATTTTAGCACAAGATTTAGTCCATAAGTTATCATTTGGTAAATCTTCCATGTATATTTGGACAGTATGCATGCCCTGTATTATTTGCTGGAACATTCTGAAAATGTCAGGTTAAGTTTCTTGATAGTGTTGTTCAAGTCTTCTATTTCTTGACTGATTTTTTTTCTCTACTTGTTCTATCAAATATTGGGAGAAGGATTTTGAAATCTCAGAGTAACATTTTCTATTTGTTCTCCTTTCATTTCTATGAAGTTTTGTTTAATGTATCTGGAGCTCTCTTTTTAGGAGCATAAACTGTTAGGATTGTTATATTGTCTTCATGATATGACCATTTGGATAAATATTCCATTTTAATCTTGTTAATAACCTTCATTCTTTTTTTCTGTTTTTTTTTGTTGTTGTTTTTTTGAGACAGGGTCTCCCTGTAGCCACAGCCAGCCTAGAACTCACTATGGAAACCTAGATCTCATACAGATCTGCCTGCCCCTGCCACCGGAGTGCAAGGATTAAAGGTGTGTGCTGCCATACCTGATTTAATCCTTATTCTTAAATCTACTTTAGCTAATAATGATAATATTAGTATTACAGCTTTCTTTTGACAAGCTTTACTTTTAACATACTTGTCTGAGTTTCTTGTAGCCAACTTTGAATTGTGTTTTACATTTTAAAAATCCAATTTGACACTGTCTGTCTTTTGTCGGGATGCTTATATCATTTTCATGTAGTTATTGACATGATTGGTTTTTAGATCCATCATCTTGCCATTTGTCTTCTATTCTTTACTCAGTTTTTTTCTTATTTTCTGTTGTCTGTTGGACTAATATTTATAATTCTATTTTATCTCTTGATGACCTTTTGAGTCAACTCTTTCTAGTACAGTCCACTTTCCTGGATCTTGGCTAGGAAAACATTTAGTATAGCACTGACACAACATAAATTATGGTAATAATAGCAAGATTATATCCAACATATAGAGGATTCATTACAAAATATGAGTAGACTTGAAGGAGCAATTAATCCATTCTATAAATCCTTGATATACATTTCAATATTTTAATATTAATCTGATTGATTTGTCTACCATTATTTGTACTCTATGATAAGCTTAGGTTAAGCTGTTTGTCACGTTAATGGTTTAACTACACCTAACTTTTCCTTAAACCAGCCATTTTCGTTGATACTACATCGTGGAGAAACTTTAATTGAATTATTCAATACATACAATGATCAATATCCGCATTTTGTTCCTTATTTAAGGAACTTAAATCTTACCAGCGATGTTTACCTTCTATATCAATAGGGGTTATAGTTTTTTTTTCACTAGTCAATAAGATATTATACCTTCCCTATGTAATTGACCCTTGACCACATGCCAGATGTTCTTAAGGAAAGGTGATGTCACAATCAAGCAGGATCTATATCCAGGTTCCAAGTCAGTGTATTAGTTTACTTTAACTATTGTAACAAAATACTAGAGTAGGTGATTTTAACAACAGAAATTGTAGTTTCTAGAGGCTTCAAGTCCAAGATCAAAGTGTTGGTAGGTTTATGTTTTTCAGAGACCTCTCTCTCTCTTTGATTTGACTTTGCATTAGCTTTTCCTGCATGTATGTCCTTGGTGTCTCTTTGTATGTTTAAATTTTTTGTTTTTATAACAGTGGTAATTTTGTATTAGGGCCAATTTAATGGCTTCATTTTAACCAAATCACTTCCTTAGAAGCCCTACCTTCAAATGTAGTCATATTCTGAAATTGGGGTTTAGAACTTCAAGATGGACTTGGGGTGTACAAAATTCAGCCTAAAACACATATAGACAAAGCTAGTCATCTTTGTCCAGTCATAGATTTTACTGCGACTTGTTTTCATTATGTATTATGTGGTAGGGCCTGTTTCTTATGGCAAATTGAAGGCTGTAATTTAGAATTGTTTCTCCTTCTACTGTGTTATCAGATACAACTTACCTTCCTCTCATCTTGTGGTGAGGGCAGGCAATGCATATTAATATAAGTTCTTACCTCTAGAGAACTTGTAAGTTCGGAGGTTCATAGGAATTCCAAAAGTGCTGATGTGTCATTGCTTATTGTCAAGGGCTATTACCTCATTTCCAGGACAGACTCCATCTGTTTTAAATTGGTGTAATAACCCTATTTTGTTATGAAACAAGCCTTTGACCTACCCTGAATCCTAATACTGTCAAGCTTTATTCAGTGAATCTGCCTAGCCCAGTTTGCTAAAGTCTTACTATTTTTCCAGACGGATTCCTTTTCTTTTCCTTTCTTCTGGAAGAGTATCCCTCCTATCTGGTCTAACCTACTGGTCTAATCTTCTGAATGCCATTCATTAAAAGGAAATCCAATTTGATCTAGCAATCACACTACTGGGTACAAAGGAAATGAAATTACCATGCTGAAGAGACATCTATACTCCCATATTCACTGAAGCAGTATTCATACCAGCTAAGAAAGAGAAACAGCCAAAATGCCCATCAAGTGATGAATGAATAAAGAAAACATGGTACATAGATACAGTGGAATACTATTCAGTCACACAAAGGCATGAAGTTCTATAATTTCTGACAAAAATGAATGGAACTAGAAATTATATTGAATGAATAAAATAAGCCAACCACAGATAAATAAGAACTGTATGCTTTTACTCATGTGGAATCTGGTAAAAAAAAAAGTAGTGTGCTTGTTACTAGAGAAGGGATGGCAAAATAAGGAAAGGCTGAACAATGGGTACTTATATAGAAAAAGTTCTGGTGTGTTATTTATTACATAGTATGGTGTCTGTAGCTCGTCATAATATACTGTACATGAGAAAAACTAGAAAAAAGTATTTTATAAGTTTTTACCATAAAGAAACAATAAATGTTTGAGGAAATAGATAAATCCAACCTTATTTAAATGCTACATAATGTGTACATGTACTGAGACATCACATGGTAACCCATTAATATGTACAAATTTTGGTTTTATGAATCAATTAAAATAAATTTAAATTGATGAAAAAGGTATATCTGTTTATCTTTCTGGGATTTTTTTGGTAGGGGTAGGGATAAAGTCTCACTTTGCAGCCCAGGCTACCCTGTCTCTCCTTATGTAGCTCAGGATGACCTCAAACTCATAGGAGTCCTCCTGCCTGAGTCTCCCTCGTGCTAGGATTACTGATATGAGCTACCACACCTAGCCGTTTGCTTTTGTCCTTGGATGCTTAAAATAGTACCTGTTTCTCATACAGTCCTCTTCTATTATGTGGACCAATGTTTAATCCATCAAGCATGTTGCCACTGTGTACTAATTGCCTTAGTACAATTAGAAAACATGTTTTGTATTCACAGATATTGGGTCTCCTTACTAAGATTATGTAGATGGTAGTTATGCTTCATTATAATTTATTCTGCATATGCCAAAAAAGCCTCCCCTAACCTTGTATCAAGGTAGTTATTTTCCATAGGAATTTGAGTCTGGCGGTAATGCCTTCTACCTCAGTCTTATTAGGAACCCATTCTCTCTGTTTTTTAAAAAGATTATTTTGTTTTTAATTGTGCGTGTGTGTGTCTGTCTGTCTGTCTCTGTGTGCCTGTGTGTGTCTGTGTACATGAGAGCCTGTGGAGGCCAGAAGAGGGTATCTGATCCCCTGTAGCCAGAGTTACAGGCAATTGTGAGCTGCCCAATGTGAGTACTGGAAATTGAACTCGCAGCCTCTGCAAAGTCTGTATATGCTCTTAAACACAGAGACATCTCTCCAACCCCCAACTCTATTTTATTTAATCATTTTATGCCTACAGAAGCAAGGATGGTTTGTATTTATACTCAGCACATTTTGACATCATGGGCAGCTATATTGGTGATAGCTAAGAATCTTTCTTAGTGTTTGGTGAACGAAGTTTATAGTTACTCAGTGCTCAGTGTGTCAGTTGTATATTACATGGTTTGATGATTAGGCAGTGAGTAATTCCCAGAAGTTTTCTTCAAATAATAACCTCTGTAGTAGATTTTTCTAGCAGAATCTAGAAATAAGGTTTTTGAGGTTCTAGGGATGATGTCCAGAGGCTCACACATGCTAGGCAAGTGACCTACTACTGTGCTATGTCCCCAGCCCAGTAACATGCATTTGAAGACTAAAAGCATACTGGCTTGTTACTAAGGCTCCATCATAGCTGTTAAAGTTTGAATTTGAAATGTACTTAATTTTGAAATGCACAATTTCAAAAATTAAATTTTCAAAAAGAATATGCTACTGTATGTTGTGCACCCCCCATATCCCTCACCCTGCCTTTTCTCACCCATCTCCTTGCTATTTCCCCTTTGTTTTCCTCGAGACTCCCACTTCTCCTTTCATGTCATATATACATGATTTTACAGGCTTGTGTTTTGAATGCTTGTTCCCCATGTCAATGGTGCTTTTTGAGAGACTGGAACCTTGAGGAGGTGGGCTAGCTAGTGATAATAGGTCACTAGGGGCAGGCCTTTGAAGGTTATGTATAGTTCAGCTCCTAGTTCAGCTGCTCCCTACTTCTTGGTCAGCTGTGATATTACATGTGGAGCCTCCGCCACACACTCCTGTAGCCATGAACTCTGCCATGCCTTCATCATCATCATGAATTGCTAAGGATTGAACCCAGGACTTTGCCACATAGTAAGTTACTGGTCTCACTGAGCTGCATCCCAAGCCCTATAACCGATTTTAACCTAAATATTTTCACCTTAGGAAGGAATGTCAGATTCATTGACAGTGTTGGCCCACATTGATAGCAGCAGTATGAGTCTAGTAAGTGCTTTCCTTTCAGTCCATATTCAGCGGCACAGAGCTGCATAGATATAGAAGCATTGTGCTGTCTTTGTAATACAGCTACATTCATTGTTACTTCCAATATTGCAAGATAGGGTGAAATTATTCATTCCATTAAGCTCTTAGAAATTCTGGCAAAAAAGTTACTGGCATAAATTATAATAGTTTTCTCTTTATACCCAAGGGGTGAATTGCAAGAGTGCTAGTGGATGCTTGACAACTTGGATAATACCAAATCACAAATTCAATTATTTTTTTTCTATCTTAGCCAAGCACTTGTCATGCTGTTCTCGTAATTTTTGTAGTTTGAGGTGTCATAGCAAAACTAACACAAATTTCTCCTTCACAATTTTCATGGGTAGATGACTCATTCTTACCATAGATCTTAGCAACCTGAAATAGCTTTTTTGTTTTGTTTTTGTTGTTTCCTTAAGTCCAGAACTTTCTCCTCTTCACTTAAAGGACATACTTTATGGCTTCTCTTCGGCATATCCAAATTGCAAGTATCACTACTCTCTAGTACTTTGGGACCATTATTAAGCACAATAAGGGTTAATCACAAATAAGTACTATGATATTGAAATATTTGATCTGATAATGGAAATGATTACTGAGTAAATGATACTAAATATGTGGCTAGTATATATCCATTTAAAAATCTTTACTTAAAAATATTTTATTATTTTTATTTTATGTGTATGGGCGTATTGCCTGCATGTGTGTAAGAGCACCCGTGTCGTACAATGTCTGTGGAGGTCAGAAGAAGAGGTCAGAGTCCCTGGAACTGGAGTTATGGATGGTTGTTAGCTGCCACGTGGGTGCTGGAAGCTGAACCCCAGTCCTCTTCAACAGCAGCCAGTACTCTTAACTGCTGAACCATCTCTCTAGCCCCAAGTATTTACCTGTTTTAGCAGTGTTATATGGTTTTTCAGGGTATAAGCTTGATCTCTCCTTAGTTAAATTTATTTCTAACTATTGATAAGTTTTATGGTATTATAAATGGACTTTTTCTTAACTTTTGGATTGCACATTGCTAGTATATACAAATATCAGTGATTTTGTGTGTTGATCTTAGACCTTGCAATTTTCCTGAGATAATTTATGAATTTCATTAGGATTTTTCTGTAGAAAAGGTCATGACATCAATGTACAGAGATCTTTTTATGTCTTCCTTTCTAATTTGGCTGACTTCTTTTTTTTTTTGCTAAAATTGGGCCTAGAACCATTCCTTTTAGATGCTTGTCTTG